GAAAAACAGCAGAAAAAGTAACTGTTAAACAACTGAAGAAACCAAGTTCAAACTGTAACACAAACGAACACATGTTCAGGACTGCTGACGGGCTTCTGGACCATACAAACATCCTCTCTGAGCTTAGAATTATTGACTTAAAGAAGTTCTGGTGTGTCCACTTGCTCAAGCAGAAGAGAGTTGAATTCAGCTAACAAGGAAAGGAAGATAGTAATGGATGCAGCTGAACAAACATCCAGACCACCATGCAACATGAAGGACCATTATCAAATATATACCTTGAGCACAGAGATCAATGACTTCTTTGGTTCACCATGTCTCTTTAGGAACTGATAGAGGTAAACGTGAGCATTGGGATTAGCAGGAAACTTTGAGTTATAGGCGTATTCACTTAATACTTGGCGGGCTTCCTCATGGTCCCCATAGAACTCCAACATCTGAGAAAAAATAAGTTTGTCAATCATTTACCACAAACTGGAAATGAAACTCTTGCAACTAATTTTAGGTTGTCAGAACTGTCCAGTAGCAGAGCCTGTACCTAACAACACAATGTATTAAAGCAGAATATGATAGTCTGTTTTAATTTTACTGGTCCCCATCACTACTGCTGTTATCATATGCAGACAGAAATTCACAGAGACAGCTACAAGAGAGAGTTCCTCTTTAAACATTTATCTGTTTGAGAACTATCATCACTTCTTCACAGAGAAAAGCCAGCGCAGCAGCCTGCCATGTCTTTCAAGAGAAAGGACAGTGAGAGAACTTGGCAACTATCAGCATCTATAGTTGTGGTAAGAGAAGTCAGAGCTTATCAGTAATCACAATTATGAAATAATTTCAGAATGGTGTTAAGATTATTTTTGTTTCCTGATGAGACTTTTTAAGCAGATTTTAAAAAATTGAGGGATTGCATGCTTGGTGTCTTTAGGGTGAAGTATAGTCAGAAAAAATAAAAGTCCTTTCTCATTGCCCTGCCAAAGAATCAGTGCTCAGAAATTAGACACACAGTTGTGCTCCAATTTCTCTACAGGAATTATATAAACATGTCTGCAAGTGGTTTTCTTCTTATTAGCAAGGCACAGATGAAACCCTCTTTGTATTCTATACAAGCTCTAAATCAAAGCTAGTGAGATGCATGCACTAGATACTAGGTTTTTAAAAGTATTTTACTGTCACCCATGTATATATAGCAAAATGGCAGATGTATCTTACTCTAATTTTTAACTATCAAACAGGGAAAACTAAGATCTGCAAAAACACGCTCTTACATCTACATAGCATTGCACAAAGAAATCCCAGACTCCAGGTATTTGAATGATCTCCTTCAAGCTGACTGCTGCTTTCCGGAAAGAATTGTGCATCTCCTGCTCAACAGACAGGTCTTCAAATCCATTCTTATCTACCAAAATATGACAGAAAGCCACAAAATTAACTTTGTTAATCAAGAGGTTTCTTGAAAAATGTGATAATCTCAGGTGTAACACGTTTGCTAAGCAGGGACTCCACTCACAGAACTTAATAAAGGAATCAAAAACAGAAAAAGAACAGAAATCCTTAGAACAACCTCTCAGTATTAGGACAACAAGAAGTTTCCACATTTATATTTGCCAAATTTTGACTCATGAGACACGAGATGCACTGTGCCAATACACTACTAATACAAGACCTATTAATCAACAATGTTGAATTTCTGATGGAAACAAGCAGAAATCCAATGTAACTAATACACAGCCAGCAGGTACCTGCAGGGTTAGAGGCCATGGCACAAGCTGCAACCCACACATCGTTAGCTTTAAAAAGAAAGCCCAAGGTTTTTTGTTAGCACTTAAAATCCTGGAAGCAGTCACAAACCTGTACACATCCAGGAAGAAGCTTCTGCTATGGACAGAAACATTCTTTTTCACCATAAAAGAACTGTAAGAACTGTGATGGTGGGAGGGAATGTTACTTTGTTTCAGAACATTGCAAGACACTTGGAAAAGTGCCAAGAAATTTGATGGCTGGTGTGTCTTCCCAGCACCACCATGACTCACAATTCAGCATTAAGTACCTCTGAACTTTGAAGTCCCTTTGGTATCTCATTACACACACTAAGGGAGAAAAGCCCCATGTAAAAGGGGGAAAAAAAAAAATCTAAATCATGGTGCTCACCAGAACATGCAAGTTGAAATTTAGAGCTCAGTACGGAAGGCAATACTAGGACTTACCATACTCTAACAGGACCTGCTTTTGCTTAGACCAGTTATAGTAGTCCAACAGTCCTCTGTAAGCCTGAATGAGCTTCAGTTCTTTATCCTGAGCTGTTGTTTGTTCTCCAAACCTCCAGCTTTCTGCCAGGGACAAGCTCTGGTAGGCTTCATCTGTTCGTCCATTACAAAGGAGGTGAAAAGCATGCTCTAGACAGACCTACAATTCAAACAGTCCACACCACAGCATTTCACATCCCAAATGGAGGGCTACTTGACCATGCAGCTAAGTTCCACACAGATGGACAGGGAGAAAAAAGAGCCTCACTGCTAAAATCCATATAGAGAGAGTATTCTGAACACACTGTTAGTAACTTAATTAGAAATGCATTTTACTTGTATCCTCTTATCCAAAGAATGTCTTTACAGGGAATTTTGGCAAAAAATGCAGGA